CCGTGATTCCGGCGTCTTCAGGACACGACAGCGTTCAACTGTGCCACTGATCCAAGTGCAACAGCTGGGCAATGTCAGATCACCTAGAATTTGTCTTCCTCTTCGTCCCCCAGGAAGCACCAAAACAACCCTCCTTTCAGATAAGACGATTTTACACAGCTTTTGAAATAAGTGGCTGGGCATGCAGCCAACAGAGATCTGGAAGAAGTGTGGCCTGGGCAGGAGAGCTGGGAGATTCGACAGGACGGGGAAAGGATCCCCAGGAGGAAACGAAAGTCGTGGTTTCAGGTGGCAGTTTCTAACTTGTCTCCACCTCGTTCATAAGACACCACAGAGTAAAGTCAGATTCCCCCTCAGATCTCAAAGGGTAAAGTCAGACCTCAGAGAGCATGGGGGGCAAAAGGTACTGAACAGCGGCCACTGACTTACGCTTTTTATCCCTGAATCCATGCAACCCCATGAGACGCTTTCCAACATCCAAAAATTGGAGGAGTTTTCTACTTCCTAAACACAGCTTCTTTATTGATTTCCCTCCAGCTCTCATAAACATGTCAAGCAACAGACCTAGGGGGGCTGGCCCTACTGTGAGCCAGGCAGAACTGCACACACACACACAGGCACACGTGCACACACACACATACACATGAAGGTACTCTGGCTCGAGGGCGCCCTGCCTCCAAACTGCCTTTCCCTCCCTCCAAGTTTGTCTCCAGTCTTTAAACGGTTTTCTTTAATGATTCCAATACATGAAAAAGCTGTAAATGATTCTGCAGATGGAACGTCAGATTGATTAATAAGTATGGGAAGAGACAGCTACTCAACCTCAGTAAGAACTGGAGATCTGCAAAAGCAAGCAATGAGATACCCAATCATACCCATCTGATTGAAAAACATTAGAAAGTCAGATAATACTAAGTGTCAGATATGATGGGCGGATCTGAGAATCCCCAGATAATGCAGGTGGGAGGGTAAACTGGTACATACTCAAGGAAACCGTGTAAGAGTACCCCTGGGACCCAGGAATCCCACTCCCCAGACTCTCTTATACAGGTCCTCAGGAAGACACACCTAAGGATGCAGCAGGGAGCTGAGTGCACAGACAGGGAGAAAGAAAATGAATAAATGTCCATTGAAAGGAAATTCAGACAATGTAGAAATAGATCATAAACAATAAATAAATACATAATGAAGAATCTCCCACAGTCACACGTGTACACACTCATACAAAAAATTCTTTGCACATTCATATATATATATTTTATTTATTTATTTAATGAGCTCATGCTGTTTTGTAACCTGTTTCACTCAACCAGCATATAGTGAGTATTATATTAACATCATTTTTCACAGCTGCACAGTATTTCACTGTAAGGACTACCATAATTTAGTTAACCAATGCTCAATTGTTAGATACCTAGGTTACTTAAACCTTTTCACTGTTAAACAGAACTGTTCTGGACTTCATTGGCCATGCATCTTTGCTTCCTCTTCTAAGTAATAAAATTAGAAGCAAAGAATAGGTATTGCAGTAAAAAATGTGCATACCTTAGAAATGGAACTGCTTGGTTAAAGGTATATATCTTTCTTACCACGATACACATTCTTTGCTTCTAATTGTAACAGTGTCCTTGGATCCACATTCTTTCTGTTGTCTGGCAAAGCAACTCCTTCAGGGAAAACAGACACACGGGTTATGTATAAGCAATAATACTTACTACACTCTTCCTCCTTTACCTCCCTCCCTTCTCTGTATCCATCGTTAAGGAAATGGCGGCCACTGTCCAAATAAGTCCGGATCTCACAGGTTCCCAGCATCAGCCATGCAGCTCATCACAGAGGACATTTTGAGACGCATCAGCAAAGCATCAGCAAAGCAAAATACTCAGGGGTTCATTCATTTGCTAAAAATACCTTTATCAGATGCCAGCTTGTGCTTGAAGCCACAGCAGGCGTTAGAGAGGCACAAACGATTAAGGGCCAGTCCTGCTCTTAGGAGCCCTCTGGTAAGTTCAGCGACACTCCTGACTCCAAGTAGAAAATCCCAAACTCACATGTGCTCTGGAAGGGGGCCTTGCTGGGAGGCTTCTCAGAGGAGGTGACACACAGGCAGGCAAACAGCAGTGAGCTGGCCACGTAGTCTTGGTGGTGGAGGGGACCCCAAGCAGAGGGTCAGAGGGACATGCAGGGCTAAGGCCACCAGATGCTGCTGGAGAACACCTGAAGGTCCAGCAGGGCGAGAGCAGTGGGCACAGCTGAGATGGGGGCTTGAGAGGGAGGCGGGGCCCTGGTTAGACAGAGCCAGCTTGCCACCACACTGAGAAGCCTGCGCACGGGGGGATGAGTGGGCAGAAGAAGGGTGAGGCCAGACGAGGGAGGATGGATGGGAGTGGGGACAAGGCTGGCTGCAGGAACGCCAGCCTGAAGGGTACTGCTGTGACTCCGGACACGAGGGAGGGAGGTGAGTCAGGCAGAAGGGCTGGCAGGTGGGGAAGCTCCCGTGGAAGAAGGGGTATGGCCCAGATGAGACAGTCTCAGGAAGACCTGAGAGGCAGAATAGCCAGGATGTGGTGACTGCATGCGAAGGGGCTAGGAGGGGAAGCAGGTAAGGAAGACGCCCAGTCAGGGCAGCAGGCCTTCAGGAAGCCCGATGAAGCGAGCGTGCAGAGGCCCGTGGAAAGGTCACAGTACAGACCACAGACTTGTAGTGTTCTAGAGTCTACGGGATGACTTACTCCCCTCCCTGGGATGCAACTTTCTCCTCTGCAAAGGAGCACATGGGACCTGTGTACCATCAAGGCCCTTCCCAGCTGTAAAATGCTGTAAGTTCCTATCCACATCAGAACTGGGGTGTCAGCTGTCCCCCTGGAAACTCTCCCCAACAAGAAGGCCTTCCTGGAAAGAGAAGGCACATCCGTAAGCAGCCTCTCCTGTGAAGTCAGAACCTTCCTCCAACACCCAGCTCACAGGCCAGCAAGGACCCATCCCTTCCAGCCCTGAGTACCGGCTCTCCTGCTCAAACATGTGCCCTCACATCTGGCCACATGCTGCTTGCTTTTCTCCCCCGCTCCTGGGTAATACGGAGCAGACTGGCAAAATAGTTCAAATACCGTCTTAAGAAGTGCACCGCCTTGTGGGCTGAGTGGCCTATTTTGAGCAAAATGTTTCAAACCTCCAGGCTCAGAGCTGCTCTAGGCACCAACGTTCAATGCAACTGAACAATCAGGAAGGCAGTAAAGGACTACGGCGTGTCTGCTGAAGGCCAGGCCGTCCTTGGGCACGGGGACTGGACATGTCCACCCTCCAGGACTGTCTGCTGTGTGTGGGAGCCACCAGCCTGGCGTGAGAAGGGCCTACGGAGGATGCACAAAGCTAGGGCTGGGGGAGGCCAGAAAAGAAAGCAACCGCCTGGCTCGGATGTCCGGGAACACTACCCAGAGGACGGAGTCTGGGAGCTGGGCCCCGGTGGCTGCGTGCAGTCACGGCAAGTGTGCAGTGGGAACTGGCCCGGGAGCGGACGAGCACAAGCCAGCAGCAGGGAGTGTCAGAAGTGACAGGAGGTTCAGAAGGGCTGGCTGATGGCCACAAGGTGCACTGGAGCTAGTTTGTAAGGGTCTGAATGCCACATCCAGGTAGTGGCTACAGGGAGCCACTGAAGTTTGCAAGCAGAGGATAAAGGGCAGTGGGAAGGATGGGGTACAGAGAGGGGCAATTCAACGTCTGCTGCACATCAGGGGATCAGCACAGTGGAAAACAATGTAGCCGGAGCCAGGGCAGGGGATGGGGCGGGGGGATGTGGGCCCACAGTTCCCCCTTCTCCGTTTTCTCAGGACCACTGCCATTTAATCCTATGGCCCCACAAAGAAACACCTTGACTCAAAGTCACACAGCAACCAACAGCAAACCTCAAGGGAGAGCTCCCAACCCTGTCTTTCCAGATCTGGTTTCTGCTCCTGCTCTGAAAAGGCTCCCAAGCCCCTGGCCCCAAACCTCCAACAGCTGATCAAACACTCAAGCACACTGTATACACTTGGAAGGGGAAGGAACAGGCTGTGAATAACTGACACACACATGCCCAAATTTCCCAGAGGCCCGCCTGAGTAACAGGACACATTTGGTTCATTTCCTGCAAAACCAGAATTTCCCAAGCATTAGGGGGAAATGCATCCCTCCCTGCATCCCCTGTAGCCCTCTCCATCCCCCTACTCCAGAGACCCCGGCCATCCTTTCTAATTTCCCACTTTCTCCCTGAACTTGAGCAACCTACAAAAAGCCTCTCCAAGATCCCTCATGCCCCTGCAAATCTTCATTGCGGCAGTTCATTCAGGCAGGGTGGTAGGCAGAAAGTCACTGAGGCCACCAAGGATGGCCAAACATCCTAAAGCCCAGCTCCAATCCCTGGCGCAATGCGCGCCTCCAACAGGTATCCCCACAGGCTAGACACTGCTTCTTTTGGTAGCAGAACATATGAAAAGAAAAAATAGCAGGTGGTGCCTGAGAAGCCCTCAGAGGGAACAGAGGGAGGCGCAGCAAGGTGGGTAAGGTTCAAATCCTACTTCCACCACTGAGCTTACTTGAATAAAGCACCTTGCCTCTCCGGAAAATTTTTCCTCATCTGTGAAATAGGTATAAAAATCAATTCCGTGTAAGGGTGTCGTAATTCGGAGCGCTATGGAGAGTGTTAAGCATTAGCGGAGAGTGAAAAGAAATTCAATATTTTTTATATATTTATTGATATATATAGATACATATCATAGCTATAGCTACAGCTATAGCTATAGATAGAGATATCGTTCGAAGGGAAGAAAATTCCTAAAGTGTGTAGCAGGGAAAACCAGCCGAGTGCAACCCTGTGGAGCAGGGCCGGGAGTCCCAGGCTAGCAGGAGCGCACCCAGGAGCCGGGGCCGGAGCATCGGTGCGCGCAGGTGCGGCGGGCGCGCAGTGACAGCAGGTTGGCGGTGCAAGTTGGCCCGCGGGGGCTGCAAAGGGGCGGCGGACCCACCTGAAGACGCGCAGCAGCAGGCAGGCTATGAGGAAGGCGGAGAAGGCGCACGCCACGATCACGGCCGCCTTCAGGGTGGGCAGGTCGCGGAGCAGGCTGGAGATGCGGGTCACCAGGGCGTCACCGCTGCTGTTGGAGCTGCCGCCGCCGCCCGCCGCCTCCCCGGAGCCCATCCCGGTGGCGTTCCCGGACCCCGGGCCGGGTGGCAGCCGCGGCTGGCGCTCGGATCCGGACTGCGGCGGGGCGGCAGATTCGGCTCTGCTGGCGCGGGCAGCGGGCGCGGCCAGGAGCGCGAGCAGCACCAGCAGCGGCAGAAACCGCGCGGGCGGCGGCGCGGCGCGCATGGTGCGGTCCGGCGGCCCGGGGTCGGGCTGGGCGAACGCGGCGGAGCCCTGGGTCCCGCACCGGCGCCGAGGCCTGCACCGGCTACTCCTGCGGCGGAGCCAGGCGGCTGCGCGGTGCTTGGCAGGAAGCTGCGGCGCCCGGAAGAGTTCGAGCCGCCCGCCGCCGCCGCCGCCGCCGCCGCCGCGGCCGCCACAGCCGGGGGGGAGGGGGGCGCCCCGGGGCCGCCGCCGCCGACTAGGGGCCCGGGGGGAAGCAGCAGGGCCGGGACGCGTTGCCGCGGGGCGCCCCCTAGGCCCCGGCGCCCCCCGCCGCCGCCGCCCCCGGTGGTCCCGGGTCGGGCGGGGAAGCGCCACCGACAGCTGTGCGCCATGTTCGCCCCGTGAAGTGAAGCAGCGAGAGGGAGAGGCGACAACACAGGGGGGCGGGGAGGCGGAGGGGGGGGCCGTGGGCCCCGGAACCTGCCTGGCCCGCTCGGCGCCGCCCGGCCGCCTGCACCCCGTGGCCGCTATGCCGAGGGCCGGGCCGCGCCAGCCGGCCCAGCAAGCTGTATAGCGGGCTCGGGCCCGCGCTGCCGACGCCGGGCCGCGGCTACGCCATCCCGAGGCCCGGGCCGCAGCCTGCCGCCCGCCCGCCCGCCCCGCAACCTGGATAACTGCGTGCCCCGCCCCGCCGCCGCCGCCGCCGCCGCCGCGGCCGCCGCCGCCACCAACACGTTACACGGAGTCATTCGACGGGCCGCAGCCCCACGTGGGCGGGGCAGGCCACCAGGCCCGGTGCGGGCTGCGCTGCTCTCCGGGCGGCCCCAGTTCCCCCGGGACCTGGCACCCCCTTGGAGAAGTAACAATAGCCAGGCGCTGTGCTGCACATTTCACATTTTCTCTATTTCATTTAATCCTGCAACCCCCTTAGGAGACAGGTATTTCTGTTACCCTCCTTTAATAGTTGATTCAAGACCCAGAGAGCCTGCTCATAGCAACCCAGGTTGTGTCAGACTAAGAATCAAAAGACCATGGCACCCGGGGCAAGCCTCCGTTCTACAGATGCGGAAACTGAAGCCTCCTTAGTGGAATGGGCTGTCCGATGCCCTATGCAGTGCATATAGTTCAACATCTCCCCAGTTAACTTCTTTTTCTCTGAAAGAGTTTCTTATCTCATGGCTTCGATCTTTCAGACATTGTGCACCTCTGCTTATGAACTGGATTAGGATGTGCATTTCTGCATTCATACCTTTGCTGTGGAATAGTCTTCCTCCCAGGTTGAAGTTTCAGACCCCAGGGAGTAATTGGCTTGCTGCCTCTGGTTTGTAAGCTAAATGATACTTAAGTGGAGAAAGACAGTTATGGATGTTCTAGTGTGAGACCCAAAGTCGGGAACTGATGGAGGGCACAGAGGGCTTTCCTGGATCACTAGGAACTATACTGCAGGCCTCAGGTCCCACCTTTCAGCATGAGGATGGATCCTGGCAGGAAGCTCTCCAGTAACAGGTAAACACACATGACAAGTACTCAGTGACCTTAAACAGCTCACTCCTGGTCCTACTAAAAAAAGCAACAGATAAATAAAATATAGTACAGTGCAGTAGCTAGCTATTGCTTCCTAACAAATTATCCCCAAACTGCACAGCTTAAACCACACGCATATATTATATCAGAGTTTCTGTGGTTTAGGAATCTGAGCATAGCTTAGCAGGGTCCTCTGCTTCAGGGTCTCTCACAGAGGCGCAATCAAGGTGTCAGCTGGGGCTGGGGTCTCATCTGATGGCTCAACTGGGGAAGGATCTGCTTCCAACTTCAATCACTGGTTGTTGGCCAGATTCAGCTGTTCATGGGCTATTGAACTGAAAGCCTCAGTTCCGCACTGGCTGTTGGCCAGAGGCTGCCCACCGTTCCTTACCATGTGGGCCTTTCCAACATGGCAGCTTGCCTCATCAAAATGTGCAAGTCTAGAAGACAATAGAAAGACCCTGTTAACAAGACAGAAGTCACTGTCTTAGGAAACCTGACCACAGAAGTGACATCCCAACACCTTTGCTATATTCTGTTGGTTAGAAGCAAGTTACAGATCTTATCACAAGGGAAGGGAAGTGTACAAGGGTGTGAATATCAGGAAGCAGGGATTATTGGGGCATCTAAAAAGCTGCCTGCCACTTATAATGTGACACATTTTGATTTAGTGGGATGAACAATAATCAGGTTATCAGAAGTCATCGCCCAGGAGGTACTATTTGAAATGCACGTTGAATAGTCCAGCATGCCCCAGTGGTGAGAAATTTGGACAGATCACATGCTTTAGGTCTCTTCCAGCTCTAAAATACCACTTTATGGTATGTCAAAAATGTGTTGGTAGAGAGCCAGCATTTTATCATATCATCATGATAGAATTTAGAAAAGAAATTTCTTAAAGAACCACTGGCGACGTCCATGATTTTGCAGCACTGCCCTCTAAGGCATAAACCTCAGACATCACAGGCTTATATTTTTGTCCTTATCTAAAATTCCTGCGTGGTAGAGTAAAGAAGGCCTGGGCCTTGGAGCCTCTAGCCAGGATGAGAGGTTTGACCGCTGAGTGGCCTTGGCCAAAGACTTAACCACAGAATTCAAGTCTTTAATGTCTAAAGTGAGGATAATAATACTTAGCTCAGGAAGGTCACTGGAAGCAAAGGGAGAAAACATTAGTGCCCTTATCCTTCTTTTGCCACAATTCATGGACTGGAGTAGACTTGCTTGGTTGTTTAAAACTGACTTAACACCAAGAATGTACATAAATGTTAGATTATTTTAGTAAAGTGAAACTGTGGAATCTTTCCTTCTTCCTGATTATTTGCTGTGCAAATCATCACAACAAAGAACTTACTTATAAATTGCCCTAAATTAGAGTTCCTTAAACATTTTGAATCAACCAACCATAAACAATGACATTTTAACATGGAACACTGCTGACAGGCAACAGAATCCAACTGGGGCTGATTTCAGGAAAAGGGAGTTTATTGGAAGCATGTTGGGTTGCTACTAGAAGCAGAAGTTCTAGAAGTGTGGTCTGGGGACTCCTGGGGTCCCTGAGACCCTTCCAGGGAAACTGCAAAGCCAAAACTAATTCCATAATAACATTAAGATGTTATTTGTCTTTTTCACTGATGGTGCGAAAGAAATCGTGATGACAACTGATGGTGCTTTAGCATGAATCAAGACAAACTATGCTCATAGTAATTGTATTCTTCATGACCATGCACGACAGAAAATAAAAATAAAAAGAGCCAGTTTCATTTTAGAGTGTCTTTGATAGAGCCATGAAATGATTAAATATTGACCCTTGAGAACAGAACGTTTTACTGTTAGATGTGGTAAAACAAGAAGTATGCATAAATCTCATCTGCTGCACTCTGAGCCATGATGAGTGTCTCAAGAAAAAAACACATGTGTGATTCTTAAAGTTGCAAACTGAACTAGCCACTTTTTTCATGGAACACCATTGTTAATCAAAAGAGTGCCTGAAAAACTTCAGACCTGGTCTTTGGCAGGCATTTTCTCAAAAATGAACAAGAATGAGCCTGTCACTTTAGGGATGGCAACTGACAGTATTGTAGCCAATGATAAAATTCAAAGCTTCAGGCTAAAATCTGAATTTTTAGAAAACTTATCCATTAGGAGGCTTTCTGCTGTGAGCTGGACTGCTTCCCAATACTTCAAGACTTTTCTGATGAGCTTGGTGGTGATACTAAAAAGTGTGGCGTTTTTGATATTATATAATGAAATATGTCAAATTTTGAAAGATCTGCTTAAATCAGCAAGCCAATTTTTCTGCATGGCCAATGTTACAAAATCATGCTTGGGTAAAAGATCCATTCAAAGTGCAAGATAGGCCAACGGATTTTGATGAAATGGAGTATAAAAGTTCATTGAGGCTTGCCTGGTGGCGCAGTGGTTGAGAGTCCGCCTGCCAATGCAGGGGACACGGGTTCGTGCCCCGGTCCGGGAAGATCCCACAGGCCGCGGAGCAGCTGGGCCCGTAAGCCATGGCCGCTGGGCCTGCGTGTCCGGAGCCTGTGCTCCGCAACGGGAGAGGCCACAACAGTGAGAGGCCCGCGTACCGCAAAAAAAAAAAAAGTTAATTGATATGGTTCCAGATTTCACAGTGTAATCTTTAAGAAACTACTGCTTGCAAATTTTGGTGTGAAATTAAAGAAGTATATCCATACTATCTGAAAAGGCTATTAAAATTCTCCTTTTTCCAACTGCATATCTAGGTGAGGCTGGATTTTCTTCATATTTTTCAACCCAAACAACAAATCGCAACAGAGTGAATGCAAAAGTGTATATGAGAATCCAGCTATTTTCTTTTTTTTTGATAGAAGTTTATTTTATTATTAAAATATAGTTGATTTACAATGTTGTGTTCATTTCAGGTGTAATGCACAGTGATTCCGTTTTTTTGCATTATAGTTTATTACAGGATATTGGGTATAATTACCGGTGCTATACAGTAAATCCTTGTTGCTTATCTATCTTATGTATAGTAAATAGTTTGTATCTGTTAATCCCATATTCGTAATTTGTCCTTCCCCCCTTCCCTTTCCCCTGTGGTAACCATAAGCTTGTTTTCAATATCTGTGAGTCTGTTCATGTTTTGAATATGGATTCATTTGTATTAGTTTTTCCAGCTATTTTCCATTAAATCAGACCATAAAGAGGTTTACCAAAAAATGTTGAAATAATGCCACTCTTCTATTTTTTTAGAAAATATAGTTATTTTCATAACAGTGTATCGACGTTAAAATGTTAATGTATTTATTACCCTGTTTCTAATTAAATTAATATTTTAAGGTGTTTTCATTTTAAATCTCTAATGCAGTAAATATCAGTAGGTATAATCCACATAACAAAAGCTCTTTGAGGTCCTTCATTTTTCTTAAGACTGGAAATCAAAAAGAGACCAAAAGTTCCTGAGACCAAAAGACTGTTTGAGAGATGATGAGCTTAGATAATCAGGCTTGGGTGGAAAA